TGTGTATATGCATAGATGTGTGTGTGCATGTATGTGTATATGCCTGTACGAGTGTATGTGTATGTGTGTATGTATGAGTGCGTGTGTATGTATGAGTGCGTGTGTATGTGTATGTATCAGGTGTGTATACATGTGCTCATGTATGTGTGTATGCATGTGTATATATGTACATATGCATTTTATGTGTATATATGCACACACATATGTATGTGTTCATATGTGTGAATGTGTCCATGCGTATCTACGCACATGTGTATGTGCATGCATATGTATTATGTGTCACATATGTCTGTGCATATGCATGTATATGCACACATGCATGTATGTGTATGCAAATGTGTATATATGCATATATGTATTGTATATTCATGTATATGTGTGTTTTAAGTTTTGGAGATATGCTAACATGCTGGGTTACAAATATCAGGATTTTCTCTCAGTCACTGTGCCCTGGGGCATGTTCCCAATGATGTGGTGTTAAATCTCTTACCTGACAGGTAGCAGATTTCCTAACTTCCTATTTCCTCTGGTTGTAACAAGCCTTTCCAGTATAAGAGACCAACCTCATCCCCTCTTCTGCCTCCAGTGTTATCAGGGCTTGAGACCTGGGGCACATGAGTGGGAGAGGCCCAGCCTGCTCTTTACTCTTCCTCCCCCTTCCATTCTCTGGGAGCAGTCTCTTCACTCCCTCTAGGAGGCGAGGCAATGGCCTCTGGTGTATTTGGGAGTGGGGAGAAAGAGGTCAAGGACAGCGCTGCTTACTGAACTGCCTGCTGTTGAGGTTCACTTGGTCAGCAGTCATGGTTTCTTTGGTTCCCACTGGTGGGACCTCAGGGCACTCTCCGTGGCAGACTCCCCTCTCCGTGGCTCTTTCCTGGTGGGTCCATTGTCCATTTTCTCCGGTTCCTCTTCAGGGGACTCTCAGGTGCAGAGATCTAACTCCGGTTGACAAGTTTGACTCTTCCCCAGATGCTCCCTGGGGGGTTCACCCACAGTCTCCTGCTTCTCAGCTCCTCTTCCTTGGCAACCCACTATCTTACGGGATGACCAGGTGGGTCAAGACTATCTTGTACAGTGTCCACTGGACCTGCTGCAAGTTGGTGTGTCTTTGCCAGAACACCTGATGGGACAGGCTGCTATGTGGATGCACCCCCTGCATCCCCTCCCCCCTCTCTCTCAATGTTTTATTTTCCTACTTAAGCAGGAACCATGTAGATCAACAAGACTGCTGTCTACTCAGGTGGCAGAGAATGAGGTGTCAGTGTTAGCTTCTTGCCAGTGTTGCGTATATTTAGGATTTATTGTCTTGGAAAGCCCCTTCCACACCTCATAGAATCCCTGTTTAGACCTTGACATGCTATGGCCCAGCATTTCCACTCGGCACTCATAGGATTCCCCTTTCTCTTCTCCTTGGTCTTCTTTCATAGATAGGTGCTGGTGGTGCTGGGTGATGGTTGAAGGTATCAGTGCCAGTTTGCCCACTTTTTGGCATGGCTTGAGAGAGGCGTTTGGCTCTATTTGAAATGCGTGGCACTTAATGCCTCTTTCTTCACATCTTTATTCGATAATTCTGGAGTAATAGGAAAAGTGCCACTTACTTTTTGTACATTTACAATACAGACAGATACACACAAAGACACATGCACACACACACACACACACACACACACACACACACACACACACACACCTGTGCCCTACAGGTAAAAGATTGAGAGACAGCAATGGGTTCTCCACTGAAATGTCAACAGTGGCTCTCGTTGGGTGGTGGTAAGATTAGAAATTATTTTTGTTTTCTTCTCTGCTTTGCTGCCTGCTCCGCTTTTTTTTCCCCAATGAAAGTGTATCACTCTTGAAATAAGATGAAGTACAATAAACATGATTTTAAAAATATTTCTGAGCTGCGGCACCATTCAACAGAGGGACCAGATGTGAGGGGCAGGGGCTTGGGCTTTCTGACCTCCCAGGGCTCTCTGCAGGCTCATGATTTTATGAAACATCAGCTGTTCTGAATTCTTACAGCACCTGCCACAACAAAAGGAGGCCCTTTGCTGAGCATACTAATGCAGTTGTACATGCCTTTATAGAACAAAGAAAGCAACATGAAGAGGTCATTAAGCCCCCCTTGGACAGCATCCATCCAGCCCTAGCCTGAGCCCTCTGGGGGAGGTAGCTGTCCACCTGCAAGGGAAGATGGCTCTGTCCAGAGTGGGTTCCTGCCATCTCCCTTTTGTCCTCTCTGGTGGTCTCCTTCCTTCTTTTTCTGGTTCCCTGCCTCCCATTTGGCTCAAACCTCAGCTCCTGCCTCATTCTAAGAACCATTTAGCATCTGCTCCTTGGATGATGCCTCTGCATTCTCTCGTGGACCCAACTCTACCCCACACATCACAGCTGTGCCCGAGGGACGGGCCTGCTTCCCAGGAGCAAAGGCCGCAATGAGCAGGCTGCCTCTCCATCCTTTTAGCTTCTCTCTATCCACATTCTCACACTCCCTGCTGCTTTTTTGACTAGTCTTAAAAATTAGCCACTCTCCACTGGCTTGGCTGAGAGAAGGCATGTTGATGTCCATTTTTTATATTAAACCTTTTCAAAGATTAAGTGACTTCTGTCCATTCTTCCCATGTGGGAAATGCTAGGGAGGCAGAGCATATCCCTCTCCCCAATCCCTCATTTACTATGTTCCAAGGGGAGAGAAATGACCACTGTGGTTGATCCCAGCTTATCCCTCACTTATATGCTTACTAGTGGATGGGGTCACTGTGCCTTAAAGACAGTGTTCTGATTTCCAGTATCTCTTGTGTTTGGGCATAGTAGGCCCTCTTCCACCTTTTTCTTTAATATGATAACCCCCCCTATTGAAGACTGTGTCCTTCCTCCCGAATGCAGGTTGGTGCTCACCAAACTCCCCTTGACCAGTGGAGTGAAGCAAACCTGTCATCCTTACCTATGTAGTTGGCTGGTTAAATGCACCAAAAGCCTTGTTGAACAGCCACACACACACACACACACACACACACACACACACACACAGTTATGTGTGGTTTGGTGTGTATATATATATATTTTTATATTTTTTTTTCCCCCATTCCAGCAACCCTGGGCGTGTTCCTCTTCCTCTCAGGGTCTTAAACCTAACCAATCATCTTGAATTCAGCTTTCATCAGAATTCTGCATTGGAACTTTCATGAGCCCGGAAACCTATGGATCAGGTGGTAGGTTTCCATTTGTCTATTGCTCTTTGGGTGTCAGTATTAAACGGACGTTGAAAGAGAAGGTAAATGAGGATTGGATAGACAGTCCACTTGTGGAGGACTCCGTTTCTTTTCATAGCTCGACTTTGGAATGAGCTGCCACATTTCCCGGGCTCACACTCTCCCACTGTCCACATCAAGGCACTGCTGTAGGGATCCAATGCTTTTGCAATAATGTGCGTGGATTCTCATACTTTCTCTCCAGTTCAGAACCAGACTTCTTTCCAACCAACAATAGGAAATTACACAAAGAATTATTGGTGCTCATGTGGGCAAGCAAATTACATCATGCATTATGTTGACTCCAACTGGCCCAAGGAGAAACTAAATCTATGGCCTCATTTGCAGTCACTCTGACTAACAAAGCCTGGGATATTCTTGTGGGAGCTGGGGGAAATTATACCAGACAGGAAGTTTCACAACCTGTCTCCAACTTTGTCCCCAAAGGAAAATAATCCAAGCTGTTGTTGTGTGAACTTGGATTCTTCCTTTGCAGTATCTGATAGCAGAAGATCATGGTCTTTTGCTTCAAGAAAGTGGAAATTCTTTACCAAGGTGGGTGTCATGGTTTAGTGAAGGAGACCCTATGGGTTCAAGGAAGACAGACATGGTATAGTGGTTAGAAACATGGGCTCCGATTGAGACACACTAGATTTGAAACCTGACTTGATTACTTACTAATTCTAGAACCTTAGACAAGAGATGTCGTCTCCCCTGGTATTTATACCCACCCCCACTGCCAATGGTAAATGAGAGATCATTTTAACATGCTCACAGAGTCAGTGTGAGGATTAAATGAGGTAGCATGTACAAAGTCCTTCAGCGCAGGACTTGGAATGTGGTAAGCGCTCAGTACATTGTAGCTAAAATTCTGTCTCGTGATCTTAGTATAAACACATCATGTCTCCTACAGTGGTAGGTTAAGAATGGTGCAGGAAGAACTCGTGGGAACAAGGGCAGGGTATCAGAGGCAGGTGACACCCCGTGGGGCCCTGGTAAAAAGATCAGGGTGGGGGATACTCTGGAAACATGGAACTATTTTCAGACACACAACATACTTTCTCTGTAAACTCATCAAGGAGCCATGTTCCGCATCGGGTGGCGGGGAATGTGCCTGGATGTTACTGAGAAGGAAAGTAGACTTCACTTACAGGCTGGTTCCAGGGATAGCTTTTCGCTAATTTGCTGGGTACCTGTGGCAGATTGCAATGGTGGCTTTGATTTTTTAGCCTCTTGAGCCTTGACTTTTGTTCTGTGACTTTTGAGATCCCCCCACTAAATATGGAATCTTTCATGCCTTGAATCTGGTCTGGCCTTGTGACTTGCTTCAGCCAATAGAATCCTTAAAAAGTAATGGTTTCCTAGTTCCTAACTGAAGTCTCAAGAGACCTGCATGTCTCTAGCTATTCTCTGTTCTTCTGCCATGGCCACAAGGACATGGTTTGTAACTTACTGGAGAATGAGAGACACATGGAGCAAAGCCAAGTCACCCCAACTGTCCCAGCAGAGGCTGACCTGGTCAGTGGGCAGCCAGCCACATCTGAGCTCCGAGAGTCAGCCAAGCAAAGGTAACAGAGCCGTCCAGCCTAACATCCTTGAGACCCGAGCAATAAATGCTTCTTGGGTGAAGTTTTGTGTGGTTTTTCTTATGGAACCTTGCCAGGAGGAGAGAGAACTGAAAAGTGATCTTGACAGTGTAACTTCATTTTATTCCTCATCTGGGATTCACTCATTCATTCCACAGATATGGAGTGCCCACTGTGTGTCAACCTTGTGCTAAGCATTGTTGGGGAGACAGAGATGAGAGCATCATTTTCCCCAGGAGGCTGTTGGTGGAACAAGAGTGTGTCCTTAGAGGACGGATTCTCTCTACTTCATTCACTAATGTATCCGGATCACCTAGAAGAGTGAGCTGGCCCTTAGAAGATGTTGGATTGACATTTTTTTTTTTGTCTTATGCAGGTAGGTGAGTGTGAATGTGTGTACCAGATAACTTTAAATGGTACATAAGAGCACATAGGCCCATTTCTCTTGACCTTTTTATTTTTTTATTTTATTTAAAAAAAAATTTTTTTTTCAATGTTTATTTATTTTTGGGACAGAGAGAGACAGAGCAGGAACGGGGGAGGGGTAGAGAGAGAGGGAGACACAGAATCGGAAACAGGCTCCAGGCTCTGAGCAGTCAGCACAGAGCCTGACGCGGGGCTCGAACTCACGGACTGCGAGATCATGACCTGAGCCAAAGTCGGCCGCTTAACCAACTGCGCCACCCAGGCGCCCCTCTCTTGACCTTTTTAGACTGGCAGCATGACTATTCCCCATTCTTTCCTCCAGTCGTGTGTGTGTGTGTGTGTGTGTGTGTGTGTGTGTGTGTTTTCTCTTCCTACAATGTCAGCAGCAGAAACCGCAGCGTGCTATAAACTTACCTCCGTAATAGAATGTAGATGCATAAATCAAAACAGCTTCTAACAGGTTGTCTGCAGTAATAAATGCTATGGAGGCAGGCCCAACTGGCAGTGTAAGAAAGATTATACAAACCGCAGCTCGGAGAAAACACGGCGTCATGAATAAACTCAGCCCTGAATTATTTATATATTTTAGACGTTATTTTCTCTCCTCTATCCCACAAGGCCTGCAAATGATTTTCACTGAGAGCCGAGAGTGCCTGAATTTGGCTATAAAAGAAAAGCAGTTGTAGTTTGTCTTGGGCCAAGTTTCAGGATGAGGATTGTGTTTTGTTCCGTGGGGAGGCAGTGGGGCCAGCGGTGCTGTGTCACGAGAAGACACTGCTCAGCAGTCAGGACAGGACACTTCGAATCCCAACAAGTTGTGTCTCCAGGGGCTCCTGGGCCTTGCCAACTGCCTCGGAGATGGGCGATTGGAGGGACAGCCTCAGGGCTGGCTTGGCCTGGCTGATCTTTGAGACCCTGAAATAGTCCCCAACTCCTGCTGTCTCTCAGAGCACCTCCAACCCTGGGGGAGATTTCACAGACTGTTCACGTCAGAGCCTCAGTTGTGATGAGTTTACTCAGAATTTCTGGAGTTGGGGCTGGACGGCAAGATTTTTAAAGCCACCTGGCTGGGTGATGCCAGCGGCAGCCGGGGCTGAGATTCACTGCTTTAACCCTTTGTTCATTCAGCAGGACACATACCAAGCACCTGTTTGTTTCTTTTTTTTTTTTTCCAACGTTTTTTAATTTTTATTTTTGGGACAGAGAGAGACAGAGCATGAACGGGGGGAGGGGCAGAGAGAGAGGGAGACACAGAATCGGAAACAGGCTCCAGGCTCTGAGCCATCAGCCCAGAGCCTGACGCGGGGCTCGAACTCACGGACCGCGAGATCGTGACCTGGCTGAAGTCGGACGCTTAACCGACTGCGCCACCCAGGCGCCCCTGTTTGTTTCTTTTCTAATGTTTACTTATTAATTTTGAGGGAGAGAGAGAGAAAGACAGAAAGAGAGAGAGAAGGAGAGGGGCAGAGAGAGAGGGAGAGAGAATCCCAAGCAGGCTCCACGCTGTCGCTGGAGAGCCAGACGCCGGCCTCGATCCCACGAACCTTGAGATCATGACCTGAGTCGAAATCAAGAGTTGAGATTGCAACTGACTGAGCCACCCAGGTGCCCCCCAAGCACCTGTCGTAAATCAGGCACTCAGTGGAGTGCTGGCCAGAGAGCGATGATGACACAGGACCAGGTCTGGCCTTCAGGGGGTTCTCTGTTCAGAGGGAGGGTCCCATAGGTAAATCCACAACTGCAATTTGGCACTGTGTAATTCTACAAGAGTAGTAGCAGTGAGAAGCACAGTGAAATAGTGCTATTATTTATGGCCAGGATAATGTTTTAGCCCTTTTTAAAACTCAGGCACTACAGTAAATGATTTACATGAAGTATCCTGTTGAATTCTCTTCCTAACCCCATAGACAGGCACAGTTAGGATCTCTGTCTCACAAATGAAGATACTGAGACCCCAAAAGAGTTAGTAACTTGCCTGAGGTTGTTACATGGCCCATACTGGTGGAACATACGGGAGGGGAAGGGCTGCCCTACCTAGCCCTGGAGAATCAGGATGATGCCTCTATGCTTCCTATCCCTTTGAGTGTACCTCGGAGCTGCAGAGATTAGGGAGCTGAGTGAGTCTCAATGTGTATGTTGTGAAAGGAAATCTTTCCCGGGTATTTTTTTAGCATAAGGCAGGACCTTGTAACACACACATAAACACACACATGTGCCCTTTCTGGTGTATCTTGTTTCCAGCTGGTTTTGCTATGAAATCTGATTATAAAAATTTTCTGGGTAGAGCAAGAAGCAATTTTGAGTCTAAAGGAGATTCAAGGAGTCCCATCAGGTCTACTTGAACCCATTTCCCTCCCATGCCACTCTGGGCTTCTTCTTGAAATGCTGAAGACCCTAAATGTCCTCTTACTTCTGTGTCTTCATAGCCTTCCCTACAGGTGGGGGAGCCCCACCCTCACCCCAACACATGCCTTTCAGGGAGATAACAGGACGAGCCCTGAGCCCCAGGACTGGTCTGTCATGAGCCAGTTAGGGGTCACTGGAAACCAAATGGAGGTTCACACTTTTCCTCCAGCACAGGACCCTGGGCCTCTAGTGCACAGTCCTTCCTGTTGGGCAGAGAATGTACAGTGAGATGCTAGTAGGTCTGGATAAGGTAATTGGGATAATCAATCAGTGTGAATTTAATGAGCACAGGAGTATTTGCGAATGAAGGCATTCATGCAGAGTTGCTCTTCATTTGGCTGGCACCTGCTTTTGTAAACCCAGATATGCTCTTTTACACCCAGATATGTTCTAAGAATTGCATAAAATATCTTGTTTTGGGTGGGTGCCTAGGTGGCTCAGTTGGTTGAGTGTCTGACTCTTAATTTTGGCTCTGGTCACGATCTCACGATTGTAAGGTCAAGCCCCGAGATGGGCTCCTCACTAAGCATGGAGCCTGCTTGGGGTTCTCTCCTTCTCCCTGCTGTCCCTCACCCCACCCCTTTCAAAAAAAAGTCTTGTTTTGGGGAAAGTGTAGAGCAAAATCCAGGGCTTAGCACTAGTTAGTTTAATGCTTCTTTCATTAGCATTACGACATGTGTATACAAACACACACACACACACACACACACACACACACACACAATATTACAGCATGGAAACAACTAGGAGATGATGCCTTTATTTTACAAGTGAGCAAAGTGGCACAGTGACAGTTGATGACACTGGTCCATGCTTAGCTATACCTGGTATGAGAATCCAATTGTCCTGATTTCCCACTGAGGGCTCTTCACTTGACCCTGCTGTGGCTCAGATTTCACTGCATGTTCTTGCTTCCAGTCCCCAGATTCAAGGGAAATTCCGCCCAATATCACCGAATACATTGTCACCTGAAGTTATATAACAAGGTCACCTGATTGTGAGGTGATTCACCCAGGCCCCTTGGTCAACCCACCCCAAATCCCAAAGTTTTAAAGCTCCAATTTCTCCCATAAGCAGGCTCTGTGCCTTTGGTAGATGAGGAGGAATTTGTCATGGGCATGTTGTAAGAAATTGCAGAGGTTCTTAATAATTATTGTCTCATGTAATCCTTCTAAGTCTCCTTGCGGTATATAGAGATGTTGTCATTACTCTCACTTTGTAGGTAAATTGAGTTAGATTCAGGAGTGACCTAACCCAAGATTCTTCTGGGACCTTGATGTAGCCATCATGGTAACAGGATGTGTATGCTGTTGGTGAGCTCTAATGAACCTCTCACCCTCAAAAAATGTCTTCATCATGTCTATCTGCATTTCTCCCAGCGGGGTTCCCACTGCTAACCTTAGCTCAGTCTCCTTTCCAAATCGCTGGGTTGACTCCCCTCTTTTAGACCCTAGAGATCCAAATACTTAGATGCTTATGCTAGGGAAATATGTGTGTGTGTGTGTGTGTGTGTGTGTGTATCTTGAAGTTTCCATGATACTACCTCAGGATATTTGGACCTTCCACCACCTGCCCCCCTCCCTACTAGTATCTGAACTTTTCTCTCCCTAATTGATAGAAATGCAGCTTTTGGATCTTTCCTAAAGCAGATTTGCAAGATCAGCTGTTCCTATATTCCTACCCATTTTTCCTCCTTTTTTTTTTCATTCTTGTTCCCTCTTCTTCTAACCATCACCAAGTTTAGTCAAGATAATATAAAACATTTAGAGTCTGGCCCCGTCTGTTCTCTTAAAGGCTCATATTGCCGAAAACACCTAAATGATGCAGCGAGAGGAGACCCTGTTTCTGAATAGCGATCCGAGCTTCACTGCTTGCATGGCTGGTAGACAAGCCTATGACGGGCAGCCTGTTGGAGAACTCATAGCTCAGGGAGAGCTGCCCTCTCAGGACTCCTTCACGCTGTAGTCAAAGCAGACACTCCAACTCCCAGAATCAGGATGGGTAGGGGCAGACATCCCGCTTAAGCAGGATGCGTTCCAAGAGAGCTGATCAGAAGGAATTTTGGGACTTGGGCCAAATGGGGGCTTTCCAGGAGCCCTGTTGGGAAGAAAACATAGCAAGCTGTCTAGAGAGTCAGCAGATACGGAGACCCAAGGTCAGTGCTGACAGAAGAGATTGCAAGGAGTCAGGCTGATTAGCAGCAACCATCCTGGAACGAGGTAGGCTTGAACAATGCTGTGTTCACCTTGCCTTGTCCACTTAAACGGAAGGGATTTTAAACATGTCGTCTTGGGCAGTACAGCTGGCGTGATTGAAACCCAGTCATTGCACGAATGGGTCTTTATGGAAGATTTAACCCCGAATTAATGTTAACTGGCAAAGAAAATTCAGATGAAAGGTTCTCTTCGTGTCTTTACAGACTTTGGTAGGAAGAGGACGGAGCAGGGAACTTTTGAGGCTTCAGATCCCTCCAGTGGAGAGGGCTCTGTCCATCTCCAGCCCTTCCACTCCAGTTTTTTTTTCAGAAAGCCTGCAAGATACCCCACCTGGTGCCAGGGAGCATGGATTGGAAGATTAAATGGGACTGTTCCTCTCCTGAGAAAGCTCGCAATCTAGTGGGACAGCGTCCTTGGAAGGGAGCACTCTGACACAATCCCTTTTTTGGAGGAAGGAAGGTGTTGAAACCCTCTGTTACTTCCATGTGATGATTTTCCCTTCTCCTGAGAAGCATATGAGATTAACACATCATAATGATTGTTTATTGTCTGTAAGCAGAGGATAAGCTATTTCTGCAAATAGGTCAGGGAGCCTATACTGTCTGAAATGCCCTGTATTGTGAGAAAATACATCCTCTTTTCCAAAATATATTTGTACAAAGAGATTAGGGGGAAAGCTGCTGCCCAGTGTTCCACATGAAGGAATTGAAGCGTGTCCATAATTTCTGCTTTTTCTTTTCTCCTATTGTTTAGAACAGAAGCCCTGTGAGACCTATAGAGCTTTAGCTGAAGCTACCAGCAACCCCTCCATGGTGTGGCATTGAATTTTGAGGCCCACGCTGTTTCCATCATGGGGAAGCCTCATCTTCAGGCAGAGACCTGGAAGCAGTGAAAAGAGTGACTGGGTGTCGTCTGGCTTTTTGAAGGAATAAGAGGTATAACACTTCCTCTGCGGGGGCCCTGAGATTTTCATTTCACTGTGCTGGGAAGAGTAAAGTGCTGTTTGCTAGGGCCATATCTAATTACTGTAAACTGGATAACTTAAAACAACAGAAATGTATTCTCTCGCAGAAATGGAAGCTAGAAGTCTGAAGTCAAGGTGTCAGCAGGGCCAGGTTCCCTCAGAAGACTCCAAGGAAGGCTCATGTGATGCCTCTCTCCTAGCTTCTCACGGTTGCCAGAAATCTGTGGTGTCCTTTGGCTTTCGGACACATTACCCCCATCTTTGCCTGTGTCATCACATGATGTGCTTCTGTCACTGTGTGTTTGCCTTTAAATATTCCTCTTCTTCCAAGGACACCTGTCACTGGATTAAGGGTAACCTGAATCTAGCATGATTTCCTCTTAACTTTTATTTGATCTACAAAGACCCTGTTTCCAAATGAGGTCACGTTCATAGGCATTGTGAGTTAAAAATGAAATATATTTTTGTGGGGGGGGACATGATTCTACCCACAACAAGTGCACCCTACACCAGTTAGGGGAAGCAGCCATAGGACAGCTGTTAGGTGTGTGCTTATTCAACATTATTCCAAAAATGTGTTTAGCTAGTACCAGACATTTCCCACGCATGCGCTGGACACCAGAGCAGGAAATGTAGCCAGTGATGCTCCAGACACATGCCTGCTTTATGCAGTGGCTGGCTTTTTGTCTGTCTGGGGCAGGCGGCCTTTCTGAACCTTCCAGGGCTTGGCACTAGGCAGGCCATCATCTTGGGTGCCTCTCACTGGTCAGCGTTCGGTGCCAGAAGGAAACAGCTTTGTCTCTCTGTTCCTATCTCTGGAGGCCTGGTAGGGCCTCAGAGCTCGCAACCTGGGGGGGGAGACGGCTGGCCCCTCTGTTGCTCTCTGCTCAGATTTTTCTGCTGAGACTCAACAGGCTCCGGGGACCAAAACGACCTGTCTTCATGTTGGAGAAAGCCGTTGTCTCTGTATTGCTCACTTGGAGGGAGTTGTTGACATTGTCACTTTGGCCCTGGTTCACTTTTCCAGTGGAGAATATTCTGGTTTGAATTCATTCCTGTAGCGCTCTTGGCAAACCCAGACAAATGTGACATTGCCCCTGGCTACCACCTGCAGCTGTGTAAAGTCAAGGCGAGGGTCCTGTGGGTTGGTCAAATTATAGCAACCTCTAGAGGGAGCTCAAGGCCTTTTCCTGTCCAAAGGCAACTGCTGCCCAAAGAGGATGCTCTGATAGATTAAGCACTGATTGACAAATATATAAAAGCTACAGTGCTCGGTGGATGGGAATATTTAGTAGGAAGGAAAAAGGAATGGTTAGATATTTTGGGGGGACAGGGGAGAGAGAGGGAGGGCCAGTGGTTTATTCTTTATTTATGAGTCCAGTAGGGACAAAACAAGGTTGAGGGATCTTTCTTGCTTGGTGAGCGGTTTTGTCTCTATGGGCAATACGTTGTCCACAGGCAGAGAAATAAGGGGAGGACAGCTGAGGCCTGTTTCTTTCCAGGTCCTTGGTGGTGGGCAAAAATTTTCTCTTCTGGTTTTTTTTTTTCCTCCCTTAGAGTGGAAAGATCTGAAGGCCCATACTCTTCAACAAAAGTGATTAAAGGTGGGGGGGGTTGCCTGGGTGCTCAGTTGGTTAGGCGTCCGACTTCGGCTCAGGTCATGATCTCACAGTTCATGGGTTCAAGCCCCGAATCAGGCTCTGTGCTGACAGCTCAGAGCTGGAGCCTGCCTCCAATCCTGTGTCTCCCTTTCTTTCTGCCCCTCTCCCCCTTCCACTCTCTCTCTATCAAAAATTAAAAAAAAAAAAAAGTTAAAAAAATTGATTAAAAGGGCCACTGAAGCTCAAATGTGGCTCCAGTGTAGGAGAAACATCTGGCTAAATTACTACGAGATTAGTAGTAGTACTATTGAAAATCCACTGGGTCCCCCTGACTGCATGTCGCAAATTCTTCCGGAAGTTGTGGGAGTTGGATGGCACTCGGGGTTCTGAGTACTGCCCTCCCATTTAAGATAGGAAACAGAAACATAGGGCTGTGGAAAAGGCGATGACTCATTCTGCCATAAAGGTGACTGTAAGAGGTGTGTGATATTGGGTAAGTGACTTATCCTCACGCACATGTAGTTTCCCCAACTATAAAATGAGGATAATACCTGATTAAAGACTGTTTTGAGATTTATAAGTAAACTAATCAGCATAAAAACAACTAGCATAGTGTCTAGAGCACTATGTAAGTCTTCAACATTTGGTGGCTATTCTGACACATGAGGTTCTGGCGAATAAATGATAACGGCCACCATTGACGAGCACTGAGGAACAGGCAGGGATATCTTTGTGTTATCTCATTTAACCACATCAGCAGCATGGTGTTAGGTATGTTATTATCACCCCCATTCTCCAACTGATGAAACTGAAGCTTAGAGAGGCCATGTAACTTGACCAGGGTCACACAGCTACTGACTGTCAGAGCTGGGATTGGAATACAGGTTGGTTTGACTCTGCCATGCCACTTATTGAATTGTCTCTGGAAAGATGATCTTGAATCAATGAACAGGAAACTCTAAGCCTTTGTGATTCTGCTCTACGTGTCATTGCGTTAAAGTTCCTGTGTGGGCAGATCTGGACAGGGCGGGGTGGGGGGGGTGGGGAGGGGAGCCTCAGCTGCTCCCAGGGATTCGTGCCTCTGAAGTGGGCACTAGCTGTGAAATAACCCTCTCCTCCTTGAATTTGAGGAAGCTGATGTATCTGAGTGCCACTTTTTAATCAAGGAGACCATCCGTCTCCCGTTGTCATTTGATCTTTTTTGCAACAACAGCCGCAAATCTCCAGGCAACACAGACATGACGCAGACAAAATGAAAACTGAGGAAGTCGTATCTTTCTCTCATTAATGGGAGAGGAGAAAACACACAGCTTTTGCCTTGAGTGTTTTGGGGATGTGTTATTTTTAGAAAAGAACATTTTGTGATTTTGTTGTTTGATTTCTGAGCAGGCTTTCTTTTTAAATTCTTTTTCAGTAACTTGCCGAATCAAAAAGGAATAGTAGATCTAGCAATAACAATCAATCAGCAAAAGGAGATCGAGTTCCTCCATGTGCAAGGCAAGGAAACAAAGAAACTGTGAGGCTTTTCCCCTGCTCTTTAGATGTTTAGAACCTACTAAGAAAGATTGTATAGCTATATATGTATAGAGCTCAGAAAATAAGGCAATCTCATCTATCGTAGTTCGCAGGAGGTAGAATAACCGGAGAGGAAAAAATTGTAGCTCTCTGTAGATTGGATGAAGTTGTTCATTCATTTGTTCGCTCGGTGTATTTGTATTGAACACCTTCTTTGTATGCGGCAGGTACTTGGAAACGAAAGCTGAGTAAGACCTTGACACCACCCTTGAAAAGTTTGTAGTCCAGTGGCAGACACAAAATCAGAATTATAAACCAAGAAATGCTGTGAAGTGATAGAAATTTGTACAAATAACGTGGGGCCACAGCAGAAGAGGTGGTGAAGTCTGCCGAGAGGAGAGAGGTATCTGAAGACTTCATGGGAGAGAGGTAATCAAGATAGGTATTGAAGGATGGGGACGCGCCGACCAGCATGTAGATGAGGCAAGGTGGTTCAGGCAAAAGAAGCAACATCGGCAAAGATTTGTGAGCTAGTGCTGCATGGGTGAGGCTCTGTCTATAGCTGGGAAGGCTAAGGGCATTGGATGGCGTAGAGAGAGGAGGCTAGAGATGTAGGAGGGCACACTCACAGCACCTGGAGGCAATGGGGAATCTTTAAAGGATTTGAACAAAATGGGGTAACTTGGGCAGATCTTTGTTTTCAAAACATGAGTCACACACCTTCTTGAAGGTACCATTAAACAAGTCTGTGTAATAAGAACTATTACAGACTGTGGATAGGCCGGGCATGATTGAGTGGATCTTCCCTGAAAGTCTTCAAAAGACTTCGAAACTGGAAGGGCTGTAAGCAGGGTGTGGCCTGATCAGATATGCTTTTTAGGAAGGATGTGTTGCTCCTGGAGAGGAAATGTATAGGAGGGATGTAAATGTGGAGGAAGAAGAACCTATTAAGAGGTGATTTGTTTGGTTAAGGAGAGAGGTGATGTTGGCCTAGACCCAGGTGCTTGCAGTAAAAATGGAGAAAAGCTCATTCAATGAGCAGATACCTAGGAAGTGAAAAGGATTGAAGTTGGTGACTGTTTGAGCAGCCTCAAATGCTGACAGGGATGTAGAAGGCCAGAGAAGGAGAAGAATTCACAGAACCTGGGCGAGTGGTGGGGACATTCACGCATCACAGAGATGTAGGACACGGGGCGAGGGCCTGCTTGGGGGTAAACTAGATAGCACTATGGAAGACAGTTAGGGATTTACCCTGTGCTGCCTGGGGTATATGGGGAATACTGCATAGGCAGAGTGAGCGAGGAAGGAGGAATTGTTATCTCAACTCAAACACAAATTGAGTTTGTGTCAATTTGAGATTGACAAATGTGTCAATGTATTGATAGACCTATATATGAGACTGGACAAGTATTGACAAGGACCTGGTGAATGCCAGGATCTTGCTAGTGCTATGCACGTGGCAGTGAGTGAACCTACCAGGAGCCTTACCTTCAAGGAGATGACATTTCATTGGGGAAACTCAATACATACATACATACATAAAAACACACAAAGATTGGGGCACCTGGGTGGCTCAGTTGGTTAAGCGTCCCACTTCAGCTCAGGTCGTGATCTCACAGCTCCTGAGTTCAAGCCCTGGGTCGGGCTCTGTGCTGACAGCTTGGAGCCTGGAGCCTGCTTTGGATTCTGTGTCTCCCTCTCCCTCTGCCCCTTTCCTGCTCACTCTCTGTCTCTCACTCTCAAAAACAAAATAAACATTAAAAAAAAATAAACACACACACACAAAGATTTAGTTAAGTACTGTGGTGTTAGCTTAGGTTCTAGGAGAAGCAAAAGTAAGACATAGGACTTTGAAGGAATATGGGGAAAGGCACTGGATGGGACTGGGGGAGCCCTTCCTCATGGAATGGAGGGGAGAGGGAAGGTAGGCAGGCAGGTAGGAAAATATACTGCCACACAGCATAAGAGAGTGTCAGTTGATGGTGGGTCCTCAAGTCAAAATTGCTGGCCAGAGGATTCCCATGTCCTCAGGATCAGACTGCCTTAGCATCCCTTTCCTGTTCAGCCGATGGCTAGGAGTAGCCCACAGTAAGTGTGGCTTGAGAGTGTGCATATGGGTGGACCTCAGAGAGTAACAACCTAGGCCCTTACACAATTGTGCTTCAGCATTAGGTGGCCTGCAAGGTGATTCTTATGGCTACCACAACTATGAGGCAAGTAATCCAGATGCTGAGAGACAATAACCTAGGAAAGTGAGCATTCAGATGAATTAGCAATGGATGGATGGCCTCTCGGGGAAATGGCATTTAACCTAAGACTAGAAGGATGAGAAAAATCCAGCTATGTGTAAAGCCTGGAAAAAGTATTGTAAGTAGAGAGGGAAGAGCAAGTGCAAAGGCCCTGTGGCGGTATCTAAGGGTCCCTCAGAAGGCCAGTGAATGTAACCAGAACAAAGAAGAGTGGCAGAAGTTATAGACAAGATGATAATCCAGGATTTTGTACATCATTTCAAGGAGTTTATACTTTATTCTAACTGCAGAGGAAAGACAGTGGCGACTCTAAGTTGGACAGTGATACGATTTGACGTATTTTAAGAAGACTGCTCTAGCTGCTGCACTGGGCACGGCTTATAGGTTTTCAAGAGTGGAAATTAATTAGATGGTGACAGATGATGATTTACACAGTCAAGGTGCATTGACCTAATCTGGGGTTGCCAGGGGCTGCGGGTGTGGAACAAAAAGGCTTCATGGGGGAGAGGTCATCTGAGCTGTGTCTTAAAGGGGTGGCTTTTTAAAGCAATTGCAGAAAGGAGGTGACATTTAAGGGGAACTCGACTGGCTCTCCGAAGGGAGGAGCAACCTTATAGCACTTTTCAAAATCACTTCACTAAAACCCAGAGTCAAAGCAGTCTTTAATTTAGTGCCTTTTATAAGACAGAATACAGTTTAGGAGTAACCAAGGACATTCACAGGTGAAAAGTACTTAAATCAGAGAGACAGCGTAGTTAGGGAAAGGAGACCAACCATTTCTTTCTTTATGGCAGAGAACATTAACTGAATACCTCAGAGGCTGAAGCAAAGAAACAAAGAGAACACTAGTCTTTGTCAACCTGGCTCTGAATGCAAACACCGTTTTGAACTTGGAGGACTCATGGGAAGTTGGTTTGATGGTTGGAGGCTTGTTTGTAGAACTCATTCTTTGCTGCTTCTTTCTATACTTTGTTTTGTTTTTGTTTCTGGTTTTTAGTAAAGCCTATACCCGCAATCACAACAGTCTCACAAAGGACTAAATCAGAGACCAGAGTCCGAATGCCCAGTCACGTTGCTCCCTCTACCACTCGGTGGATTTCTTCTAGAATCTATATTCTGATGTCAGCCATCTCCCGCCCTTCTTTTCTTTCCTCATGGGCCCTGCCTTAGGTTTATACTTTTGCAATAGATCCTTAAATGTTCTCCCTGCCTCCAGATTCTTACATTGCACACAGGTCAAATGTCAAAACGGGGCTTCTTGGATAAAAGCAGCCCACGGTGCCTTTCCTTTCTCTTTTCTGTCCAAAACACTTTTTAGAATAAGATGTCTGGATAGAAAAATTAGATGTGTTTACCTAAAAATACCCATTCCTGGTTTCTCTTGAAAACTCAGTTGATCTGGACCACACTAGTTCAGCCAGAGCAACGGGTGGACGAAACCCAATAGGTGTCCTCTCTTCTCGCTCAGACGTCAGACGTCTCTCCAGTTTGTCGTCACCTCTCTTCCTCGCTGTGGTTCTATACCTCTCCTTTTTTTACCTGCCTGAATCTGGGGTGCATTTGAATTCCAAACAGAAATCTGATCATGTGACACTCTTATTTATTTATTTATTTATTTATTTATTTATTTATTTTTTTAAATTTTTTTTCAACGTTTATTTATTTTGGGGACAGAGAGAGACAGAGCATGAACGGGCGAGGGGCAGAGAGAGAGAGGGAGACACAGAATCGGAAACAGGCTCCAGGCTCTGAGCCGTCAGCCCAGAGCCCGACGCGGGGCTCGAACTCACGGACCGCGAGATCGTGACCTGGCTGAAGTCGGACGCTTAACCGACTGCGCCACCCAGGCGCCCCAAGTGACACTCTTATTTAAAAAACCTGCACCTGTTGGTCTGGCAGATGAAGTTCAAACTCTTCACCGTAGCACAGAAGGGACTTCTTCACCTGGTCTCATGCTCTCTGTGGATGTCCTTTGTGACTCATGCCCTTCTCAGAAGTCATGCTGAATGGCTGCACGTGTTGTATGTCTGTGTCTTCTTCTGTCTACGGTGATTTCTTCCTTTCAGGTGGGATGCCATTTCTTTTCTTCTGCAGCTGGTGTACATTCATTCTTTAGCCTCTGTCCAAATATAAATCCTCTTCTAACTTCTGCTTTCTCGTCACCTGCTTCTCCACTTCCTCAGCATCTTGGGCTCGCCTCTGTTAGGACCCTTTGCCACTAGTGTCTGGTGAATTCTCTCTCCTTCTCCAGACTGCACACCCTTCGGGATTCTGAATCATCTTCGTCTTTGGAGGCCTAGTGTGGGATAGGGAGTGGTGTTCAGTGAATAAAGGTGTCGAGTGGAAAAGTTTGATCTTCTATTTTCTTCCCTATGAAAGGACACCTGCTGCTTCCATATCAGAGGATTATTGTGGGAACCCAATGGCATAATGTCCTTTGTAAAAGTAGCTGGAAACTGCAAAGCAATGTATATGAATGAATGGAGCAGTCAGAAAATGGTATGTTCTCAACTTGCTTAAATGACTTAACTGGTTGTACCTGCAGAGAATAGTGACCTAGAAGGTAGGAGGCCTGGAATACAGTTCCAGGTTCCTTGCCAATTAGCGGTGTAACTTAGGGCCACTTTCTTTCGCCACTCCAGACCTTGGCTTCCAGCGCTGGGCTTTGAACATTTTAAGGCACTTGCTCTTTCTTCTTCTTCTTCTTCTTCTTCTTCTTCTTCTTCTTCTTCTTCTT